AAAAAAAAAACCAGCAACAACAATGATTAAGAAAACTACCTAAATGTCACATAAGATACAAACCAGGGCTCGAGGATTGTCTGTCTGGAAGGCACTGGAATAAGGGAAATAGGTTGAGGAAATAATTATGTAGGACTGTTACATAGTTTTTAAATTTTAGAATTTAGCAAATACTCCTAAGAAAGCATTTAAAAATAAATTCATTGGCTGATCAAATTGTTTTCTTCGTGTGATTAGAAATGGATATGGTTTAACTGAATGTGTATAGCAAGTTACTTATTTCGTGCCTGTTATTACTTTCATAATTAACTTAGACGACATTTCTTGCATACCGAAGGATGTAACTGAGAACTTGGCATTACTGAAAGAGTTGGTACAGTTCATTTATAAATGTAGGATATAGAGTTGCTGATTCAGCTTTATTTCTCTGCATAGTTTCTTCCACTCCTTTGATTCATTAAAGCAAGAAACTCCTAGTAATGTCATCTTTAGTGCTTCTAAAAACGAATAAATTAAGTCTAATTTCAAATACTGTCTTGATCAAATGGAAATACTACCTGAACTCGTTACAATGCATTATTCTAGTCCTGTTTCAGAACCAAAAGTACACTTTGCAAATGGTTTTGCCAGGTGTTTACAAGACAATGAGAATACTGGTAATGCAGTTTTAGGTAGACTGACACATTTAAAGTTGATTTCTCTAAGCCTGTAAATACTTTCTGACGGAATTTGAGTTGAGAATTATCAAAAGTTGATTAATATAGAAATAACTCTTATTGATGTTACTGTTAATAAGTTCGTTTTTGTTTGTTTGTTTGTTTACATAAATAAAGCCATTGCCAAAACCCAAAAAATCCTCAAGCAAAGGTGGTAAAAAGGAACGGAACAGTTCTGGAACAACAAGGAAGTCAAAGCAAACCAAATGTCCTGAAATTCTGTCAGATGAATCTAGTAGTGATGAAGATGAGAAGAAAAATAAGGAAGAGTCTTCAGAAGATGAAGAGAAAGAAAGTGAAGAGGAGGTAAAATGTATTTTTTTAACTATTGTTTTCTGTCAAAGAGAGAAATATTCTTGCTATATAAATAAGCAGATAGTTCGATGTCAGTTCTTTTGTTTTGTTTTTTGGGACAGGGTTTCCCTGTGTAGTTCTGGCTATCCTGGAACTCTGTAGACCAGGCTGGCCTCAAAATTCACATAGATCCACCTGTTTCTGCTTCCCAAGTGCTGGAATTAAAGGTATGCACCACCACTGACCAACAATGTCGGTTCCTTTTCATTGTGAAGCTACATAAATAATTGACCAGGCTTATATCCCCCCATCAAACATTAAAGTTTGAAAACAGTTGAGTTTGTGACCTAGATTTGAAGTGCGCCTTGAGCTGGCTCTCACCATCTAGAGGAGGGGATGGTAAAGGAAGCAGCAAAACTGTACACTAACACAGAGGAGCGTGTGTTTTCTATTTCAGCATTTATGTGTGGGTTTTTGTCTACGAGTATGTCCTTGCACCACATACATTCTTGGTACCTGCAGCCGCCAGAGGATCACATCAGAATCCCCTGAAACTGAAGTTATATATGACAGTGAGCCCCCACCATGCTAAGAATTGAGTTTGGATCCTCTGGAAGAGCAGCCAGTGCTCTTAACCACTGAGCCATCTTTCCAACCCATGGGACCACATTCTCAAAAGATTTTTTTCATAGTATATTAATGTTTTATAATTGACCTGAACTGATTTAATTTGATGCAAAAAGTAAAGTGTTAAAGGTTGTCATTTTCCTCCAACTTTTTGGGAATTACTTAATGAGTAATGGCATTGAAGTTTATGTCACCTAAAAATGGAACATTTTCTGTTTGCAAATATTTGTAAAATGCTTCCAGAGTGCATACTAGGTAGGAGGAAAACTTAATTAGGACATTAAGCTTTTGCTATCTCCTCAGTCAAGGTCAGGGAAAGTAGTACAGAAGGTGAACATTCCTGTTCTTAATGATGTTTAGTATGCCATGTTTTATTGTTTTACTTTAGGGGTTAGAATTTATTCTCTATATAGAAGTGTATAGGTTTGATTAATCCTGGACTGGCATTATAGTCTAGATAATTCCTTGTGGGAAGCACCGCACAGTTGTAATAGCCAGTAATGTCTCTGAACACTAACAGATGTCTCTCATGTGGTCAGGAAGGATGCTTTTTATCTACTGAACACCACAAAATTAGAAGAATGAGGTAAATTATGGGGCTGGAACGTTGCTGAGTTGTTTAAGAGCTTGTATTGCTCTTGAAAAAGAACAGTTCCTGGTACCCAGGTGGAACTGCCTGTATCTCCAGCTCTAGAGGTTACAATATCCTCTTCTGGTTTCTGCAGGAACCTACACTCATCTACACATTCTTGCACAGACACACATGCATACCTATAATTAAAAATAAATCTTTTTTTTTAAAGATATGTAGCAAACTTATTTTATATAAATATGTTATTAGTATATATATTTGGCTTGAGAGACTTAAAATTCGTGCTAGTTTTAATGTCTGTTGCCCACAGAGGCCAGAAGAGGGTATTAGATCCCTTGGAATTGGAGTTATCCATGGTTGTGAGCTGCTGTATGGGTACTGGGAATTAAACCTAGATCCCTTGGAAGAACAGCTCGGCCATATCTCCAGCTCCTAATGTCAGAATATTAAAGGTACTCATGAAACTAAGTATGAGTACTTTCATAATGTGAGACCCTTTTTTTTTTCTACAAATCTTATAGATGCTTCATACATTTAAAAAATTTTTTAGTTATATGCATATGTGTGTCTGTGTATATGAGTACAGTGCCTTCTGAGGCCAGAAGAGGGCATCAGATACCCTGAAGCTGGAGTTACAGGTGATTGTAAGACACCTGGCATGGATGCTGGGAATTAAACTTGGGTCTTATAAAAGAACAGCAAGTGCTCTTAACCATTATGCCATCCCTCCAACCTCTACTGTATATTGGTGTGGAAAGAAGATGAATAATCTGAATGCTCAGATTTTATGGTTTGATACCTAAGAGGAAAACATGTTTATATGTACATACATAATTGTGACAGATTTGTGTATGGATGCCAGGGAGCAACCCTCAAGAGCCACTGCCCCCAAACCCTCATTTTTGAGACAGGATCTCAGTATATAGCACTGACTAGCCTGGGTCTCACTCTGTAGACCACACTGGCCTTGAACTTACAAAGATATACATGCCTTTTCCCTTCTAGTGGTGAAATCAAAGGCATACACCACCACACCCTGTCTCCATCCGTTTTGAGAAAGGGTCTTAAACTGGCACCTGGACCATACCAACCAACTAGGTTAAGCTGGCTGGCCAGGAAGCCCCAGGGATTCTCCTCCATCTCCTAGCACTAAAATTGTAGCCATTGCATCACTGTGCCTGGGTGGTAGGGTTTAAATTCAACCCTTTATGCCTATGTGGCATGAACTGTTTCACCAGTCCCCATAATTTTAAACTAATTATTTTTCTTGTTCAATATTTTGCTCATTTACCATGTGTCCTTAACTGTTTCTTAAATATTAAGCACAAATCATGAAAAGTTAAATTATGAAAAGTCATTGTGAAATATAAACTTTGTTTTTTGTTTTGTCTTTGTAAAACATGAGGTTTGGAAACTGGGTTCAAATCCCTGTTCTCCCCTGGTTTTTCACTATATGACTTGGTGCAAATTACTTAATCTCTCTACTCAATCTCCCATTAGTAAAATTGGAAGCAACCTCATAGGGCCATATTAAATGACTTTAAAGTGCCTGGCAACATATATTCTGCATTAGTTGATATTATTATTACTATTAGAATCTTAGCCAGGCATGGTAGCACTTGCCTTTAATCCCAGCACTGTGAGGCGGAGGCCCCCTGCTCTACAGAATGAGTTTCAGGACAGCGAGAATACACAAAGAAACCCTGTCTCAAAGGCTCCCCGTTCCCCCAAAAGAAGACATGTTATTCCAAGTACCATTTCTAAATCTAGTCTTGTTGCCAAGATAAAGTTTAGGAAGAAGCACAGGTGAACTATTCCAATGTAAATCAGAGTTTTTCTTTCTCCAGTGACATAAACTAGGAAATCCAGGTCAAATGATGGAAATCCATGGAGGATAAAGAAGAAAATGGTTTGTGTACATTAAGTACATCAAATCATGCCATATGAAAATATAGGGGGATTTTTTTCTGCATGAGTTTGTCCTGACAGGCTGTATAAGACACAATTCCAATAAAGTTTATAGACTTCTTAGTAAATTTCCTCTCCAGTAAAACTAATTTTATGCAGGGTTGTGGTGGCGCACACCTTTAATCCCAGCATTCAGGAGGCGGATCTCTGTGAGTTCAAGGCCAGCCTGGTCTACAGAGCGAGATCCAGGACAGGCACCAAAACTACACAGAGAAACCCTGTCCTCGAAAAAATGAATAAACAAGAACAAAAGACTAATTTTATATTGCTGTAAAAGCCCTTTAAATTTACAACTGCTTCAAATACTTTATGGCTGATTTAGTTTCTGTGAAAGTTCTAATTGACATAGAAAGGAAGGAATAGTATCTTATGACATTATTTTCTCCCATTTTTTTTTAACAAACATGCAGTGTATTATACTTATTAACACCTCCCATTACCCTCTAGTGTCCATCTTTCCTTCTGAAACCTTCCCACCTAGTTTCCCAGTGATTAGATTAAAAAAAGACTCCTCCTCCAGAAACCATTAATCATCATTAGCTCCTAAAAAGGATGGATGATGGGCTTTGTGGTCACCTCTCTCCATGGTGAAGTTGGAGGGCCAGTCTTGTGAAGGTATTCATAGCTGCTGTATGTTCATGGTTGCAATGGTAGTGTCTTGTCTGGATGGCTGTATTTCATGACACTCATCCCCATCCTCCAGCTCTTGAAGTCATCCTGTTCTTTCTTCTGTAATGTTCCCTGAGCCTTAGGTGGGAGTTGACACAGATGTCCCATTTAAGGGTGGGTGCTCATCTCTTTTTCTGTACTTTGACCAGATAAGACTCATTGCATTAACTGTTATCCTCTGCAAAAAGGAGCTTTTCTGCCTGCCCTAGGCTGAGAGCTGCAGAAATCTGGGTATAAGCACAAATACTTAACATGCAGTTTGACTACATATTCATGTAGATAAACATTAGTAATGTGGGCTCTTCAGCCGTGGGCTCTTGACCAGGTTTTTACATTGTCAGGTGTATGATCCTTCCTTTGTTGTGGGTTCTCAGACCAGTTCATCTGCAGAATAGTTTTGCCATCATTAGTGGGCATATGTTGCCTGATGAATTGCTATTGTGGTGCACCTGTGTTCTGTAGCAGAGTAATAGCTGATGTGTTTTCTCCCAGTAGTCTTCATATCTTCTAACAGTAAACATTAGCTGGCAGGGAGGTAGTGAATTTCCAGTTCAGTCCATCTTGATTTCTTTGTGTCCTAATCAGTTAATCATGATCAGAGTTTAATGGTTTTATGTCTAAAGACAAGAACAAGCAACACGCTGTCTTATGGTGTTTGCCTTTTTCCCTTGGAAGGGATACCTTTAACAAGAGGCTCTGTCTGTGACAGTGACCAGAACGTTGTTCACTGTTTAGCTGTGAGCTACGATCCAGGTGTTAATACTTCTCTTCTAGTGGCTGCTACACTGCAAATCTGATGTGGATTTACATCTTTTTTGGAAGCTATATTACATTTCCTGACTTCATAGGAAAAAGACAGTAAAAAGTGGGTTTGTTGTTCATTTAGACATTCTACAACTCAGAGAAACCTGCAGTTACAATTTTTGTCAGATGGTTTTTTTAGTTGTTGAAAAAAATTGATAGTGGTAGGATGTGGACATACATGTTTTGCTGTTCCTTAATAATGCTTTTAGAAACTAAGAAACTTCATAATTTGAATGGAGAAAATTACAAAACCGAGTAATCTATTTAATCTTTCGTTGGAAATCAAAGTTGAAAGGCTGCCTTGATAAAAATCCATTTACACTTCATCATTTTGTGAACCCTAACTAGAATTGTACGTTTCTTCTTCTTTTTTTTTTTTTTTTTTTTTTTTGGTCATTCTGGGTTTTCTCAACCAAGTTAGAAGAATCCTGTATTTTAAAGTAATTTTTTATTTTGTTCATCTGTTCACCCAGTACAACCTTTCTGCTGTGAGGACAGAATTCTGGCTCTGTGACAGGCGTCTTTTTTGGTGACCCTCCTTCAAGAGCCCTGCTGCCTATAACAGATAGGTAAGCCCTGTTCTCACAAGATTTTTGGGTTTTTGGCAAAAAGTGCTTGTGCCATTTTTCGATTCTACATGGAAAATCCTCTTCAATTTTTTGAAAATTTATCTTATTAATCTTAATCCTTTGGGTTGGAGAGATAGTTCAGCCGTCTGGAGCATTTGCTGCTCTTCTAGTGAACTCAAGTTCAGATCCCAATACTACTATCATATCAGGCAGCTAACACCGTGCCTGTAACTCCAGCTCCAGGGATCAGATACCATCTTCTGGCCTCGGGGTACCCTGTACACACACACACACACACACACACACACACACACACACACACACACACACCTTAGAAGAAAAGTTAGATTGGAAACAAGCTCTTTCTGTATTTTTTCCCCTTTGAAACTTGTTACTTAATTTTTTTCACATTCATTTTGTAAAACAACCCAGTCTTAACATCTGTTTGATTAAATTATAAAGGTGTCTATTAAGAATCTTTCACAGCTAGGTATGATGGCACACGCCTTTAATACCAGTACTCGGGAGGCAGAGGCAGGTGGATCGCTGTGAGTTTGAGGCTATCCTGGTCTACAGAAGGGAGTTCCAGAACAGCCAAGATTACACAGAGAAACCCTGTCTCAAAACAGACAACAAAAAATCTTTCACATCTTAAATTTCATTAATTTTTAACTCTTGTTTGTCTTTCGAGGAATAAGAAGTTTACTTTCATTTATATAGTTTTAGCATTATTGTGATCCTTTTTATTTTTTTTCTTAAAGTGTTTTATTTCTTGTTGGCCTTGAACTTGTAAGTTGTATTGCCTCAGCCTCCCTAGTTTTGAGGATTGCAAGAGTACTCTTGATGGTTTGATACAATGGTCTTGCCTTCCCTTTCTCAACTATACAGTCTATACATGTAAATTACACCAGAACATAGTGATGTTGCAAATCAAGAGGCTGTGTGTGGCTTAGCAAGATGACTAAAAACTTAAACTTTAGGATTGGTAGAAATTTTTAAAGTTTATCTAGTTTTCAAAACTTTTATAATTATATAGCAATTACTTAACAGTAGTTCTAAGCTCTGTAGTAGCGATTAAGACATTATTAACAGTCTTTTGCCATATATATCCTTATATATTTTAGTGAGTGAGAGGATTAGCCACATAGTATTAAGAGGAAAAAGGGTATAGTCAAATGTAACTTAAGGAATGAATGAGCCAATACACATCTGTTTTTAGTACTGCTTTCTAAAATAGAAAAAGATCTATATTTAGCATATAGCAAATAGGCTGTGATATACCAGTTAGTTTGTTACTGTAATTTAGTTATATAGTTTCATCCCTAGCTTAAAGGAACACATAGGTGAGTGGGTTTTATTCTTCCAAGAACTAATATAGGTCACATTTGCTTCTTAGTAGCTTTAAGGTGTTTATTTACTTTACTACTGCATTTAACTCATCATGAGTTAAAGAATTTGGTTTGATTTTTGTTAGTTTTGTTTTGAGCACGAGATTGTGTGGATGCAGCATTATGAAAATGCATTTTTCTTTCCTCTTGAACTTTCCCTGACCCCCAAGCTTTGGGAGGTTGGGATTAATGACTTACAGGCCAAGTATTGTGGGAATGGGAAGGAATCAAATTGATAGCATTGTGAGATGTTTAAGGGCTTGATCCTTTAGGTGGCTTTAGATTCTTAAGGTTTTCATAAGGATTGAAATTTAAATAGATGTGGTTAACTTGCCTTCTCAGCTGTCCCACTGTTTATCTTTACCTCCAAATACCAGTGACCTTCATTTGCCTCAACTGCTAAAACTGTGTCCATTGTTTCCCAAAACTGAGATGTTTGAAATGCTTGTCTTTTCCAGAATCACCTGTACCTAATAACTTCATTTTCAGGATAGGTGAAATGATTCTTAACATTTGTAGAGCTAAAGACAGGATGTGAGTTCATCAGCTATTTTACTGTGCCCAAGATGTTGGGTAACCAACTAAGTTGGAGCTTGTTGGTTCACTGTTCAGTTTTCAGTATTTCCTAAGTCATCAAGTCTAAATCAGTGTCTACCTGAAGCGTGTCACAAAATTCACAACTGATTAATGAAAATGAGTGAAACCAACTATAAACTTAAGGGAATTAAGATGTTTGTGAGTCAAGTCATGTCTACCATAATGTGATAAAGTGATGTGTCAGGGTTAGTGAGGTGTCACTTTTATAATTTCCATTCTGTAATAGATAACAGAAACTTATTTACAATATCCAATTTTAGGGGAAATTGGTTTGCATACTAGAGGAACTTCTAAATCACAAAAGGAAGCACTTGGTAGCAGTGGTGGATGATATTGTTTCCTATGTGCCAGGAGGCATCATTAAAAGTATTTTTACGCCAGGCGTTGGTGGCGCACGCCTTTAATCCTAGCACTCGGGAGGCAGAGCCAGGCGGATCTCTGTGAGTTCGAGGCCAGCCTGGGCTACCAAGTGAACTCCAGGAAAGGCACAAAACTACACAGAGAAACCCTGTCTCAAAAAACCAAAAAAAAAAAAAAAAAAAAAGTATTTTTACAAGCTGTACACTAACCCCCCCCCCATAAAGACTTAGATTGATTCCTTTATTTGATAAGGGGGGAGAATAGGGCCTCAAGACCCTGCACTCTGAACTATAATTTATCTTGTTGTATAGTACTTTCGTGGTATGATTGTGCTCTTATAGAAATTTTGGTAATCAACAGTAGGCTAGTTGTCTTTTGTAAAAGCCACGGGATGTTATCTTTTCTGGAAGATGGTGTTAAGTATAGAAAGATGTATGTTTGTCCAGAAGGAGCATTTTATAAGAGTGGCTTCATTTCCTCCTCTACTCCCTTATCACCACAGATGTTTATACTTTATCAAGCCACTAACTTGTACCAATTATTAGGTTTAATATTAATCATATTGTGTATGCCTTCTAAAAGTTTAATCATAAACTTAGATTACGGCCCTGGAAATGTTGTAAATACCTAATGTAATGCGATTGAGTAGCAGTGCAGTGTGTTGTTTCTGTTGCTTACTTTTCACAACCACTTGGGTAGTATAGTTTCTTATACTTAAAAGTCCAGGTTTCATTAGACTTTGACTGAAGAGTGATACTGAATATTTGATTCTGTGTAATAAGAGTATTGATACAACAGCTGAACCTTTATTATTCCCTTTAAGAGCCTACTGCAGTTTATATGAACTAGGTGGGCATCTAATTAAAAAATATTAGTTTAAGTTAGTCATGGGAAAACTAATACTAGTCATTGGTACTGCTTGGTAAAGCTCCCATATTTTATCAGCTTCTTAATACCACTTATATACTGGTAGTAGCTGGCAAACTAGAAAGGTTTGCTAGTACCCAGCCAACAGAATATTACTGAGTTAATACAGGGTGAGTCTAGGTTTATATAGATATTTGCAATGGTAATATAACGAAGAAAAGACACACTAAAAATTGAATTAACTCCACTTAGCTATAATAGTCTGAGTCTTCCTAGATTTTAAACAAATTGATATGAAGGACAGGTTGAACACAGTATTTGTCTTTAAGAGTTAAGTGAGCTGTAACATACCTGTAATGTAAGGCTCTAGTGGCCAAGACAGAAAGAGCATTCAAGACTGGTCTCGGTATGTATTGTAGCAGTATCTTAGAAACAACAAAAAGCTGATTGTGATGATGTAACTCCAAAGTCAAAAGTGTAAAACATCCTGTCTAGCTATATGTGATAGTTTCAATGTATAAAGATGAGAATTTATCTTAGGTTCTTTTGTAATGTGGAATACTTTGCTTTGGGAATGTTAATTAAATGAATAATTAATTCTTCCTAGTTTCAGAGACTTAAGTTGAAATAAAGTACTTACGAGCTGTAATTTGGACACTAATTTATGTCCAGCATTTAGCTTTTGTTGAATCTGTGTATTGGTGCTTAAGAGCATGTACTCTGGAGTCAGGTCTATGTTTGAGTCTTAGCTTGTAGTAATATGATTATGAACAAGATGACTTCACTGAGTCTGTTTCCTCATATATTCACAAAGTTTTACTGAACAACTGCTGTGTACCAGGACCTATTAGAAGTTATGGCTTTATCAGTGAACACAAGGGATAAAACCTTGTCTCTCTGTAGCTTGGTTTTAGTTGGGGGAAGAGAGTAGGAGACAGTAAATAGTATTTATATTTTGAATTATATGTCAGCTCCAATTAAATGGAATAATGTAGATGACTTTTTTACATTGAAATAAAGTGTTAGGGCACAATTCCTCTCAACAGTTGATAATTAGTAATGTTTAAGCTGTGATAGCTAGTGTTTACTGTAAGAAAGCAGAGAGAAGAACAGTAGTGACTCATTCATATGTGTGCTTTCCTTTCCTTTCTAGCAACCACCAAAAAAGACATCTAAAAAAGAAAAAGCAAAACAGAAAGCTGCTGCTAAAAGTAAAAAGTCTGTAAAAAGTGCTAATGTTAAGAAGGCAGATAGCAGCACCACCAAGAAGAATCAAAACAGTTCCAAAAAAGGTACATTAGAAATGATGACAGCAATTGTTAGGAGCACTATATGCTTGTACACGTTTAAGTATGTATGGAAGACAGTAAACTGAAAGAACATTGGGGAGAAGTAGCATGCCAGTTTTCAAAGCTAAAAAATTTTCAGTGCATGCTTTATATGTAATTTTTAGGTAAATTTTTATTTTAAAATTAAAACTAAATGATTTATCACTGGGAAGGGCTTATGTTCTCTTGAAAACTTAAAAATTTCCCCTTGTCTTATACCTTGGTATGCAAAAAATTATTCACACTGGGTATCTTAACTTTTAGAGTCTGAATCTGAAGATAGTTCTGATGATGAACCATTAATTAAAAAATTGAAAAAACCACCTACAGATGAAGAGTTAAAGGAAACAGTGAAGAAATTACTGGCTGATGCTAACTTGGAGGAAGTCACAATGAAGCAGATTTGCAAAGAGGTGATTGGGGGCACGTGTTCTAGTTATTACCCTCTGACTTTATGGAGTTTTTCATCCATTTAATTTGAAACATCTTTTTGTGTATTCATTCAGAGAGTATTGATTAAATTACTATTTCAGATCCTCTTGAGGGTACTGGATACTGTAGTAATTATAAAATAGTCACGCTTCTCTGACCTAAACATTTTTATAAATAGTCAATAAAATTAAAATGATAGGCTTCACAGCCCAGACTTCCTGATGTGGAAACTTAGTGATGTGGAAATCTTAGTATCACTAGATTGTATTGGTTTAAAGAGAATCTTAGGAGTCTCCTTACTCCCTTCTTAGTGTGCTGAAGACTGTGCCAGATTATTAACTTAAATTTCTCTGGAATTCTTGTAATGCTTCTCAGGAAATAAAATGTGTTAGTCTTGCCAGGCGGTGGTGGTGCACGCCTTTAATCCCAGCACTCGGGAGGCAGAGCCAGGCGGATCTCTGTGAGTTCGAGGCCAGCCTGTGCTACAATTGAGTTCCAGGAAAGGCACAAAGCTACATAGAGAAACCCTGTCTCAAAAAACCAAAAAAAAAAAAAAAGTGTTAGTCTTGAATGAGTCATTGTCCATATTGTAGGTATAGTTGGAGATTTAGAAATCTAGTTTCTTTTGATTAAAGTTTAATTTGAAATACATCAGAGGTAAAATAGTCTATGCTTTTATTGAATTTATTTTTTTAATTAGATAATTCAACTGAGCCTTTACTACATGCCAAGCTAAGACTAGGTGTTAGGAGAGAAAGCAGAGAAGTCATTACTTGTCTTTAAATATGCCTGCAGTTAGTGAGGTAGAGGAAAATATTCCATCAGAGGGCTGTGTGTGCAAACTGTTGGAACACTTTGGTAGGAGTACAACACCACAGAACATTCCTACCTGGGAATGGGGGCCAGGGCTTGAAAGAATATGGAAAAGCATCTAGAATTAATCACTGAGTCCCAAAATACTAAAATAATAATAAGTAAATTAAATAATAGAATAACAAAATAATAAACCTTTTCTCTACAGCAGTGGTTCTCAACCTTCCTCATGCTTCAACCCTTTATTTAATATACTTAACATTGTGACGCCCAGTCATAAAATTATTTTTGTTGCTACTTCATAACTACAATTTTGCTACTGTTATGAATTGTAATGTAAATATCTGTTTTCTGATGGTCTTAGGTGATTCGTGTGAAAGGGTCATTCAACTCCCAGGTTAAGAACCACTGCTTTATTGTTGAACAATGACAGAATCACTGAAATAATGACTGTAAGAAGCAGTAATTTGGGGAGGGGATGGGAGGACGGAAGAGAGGGCGATCTGTGGTTGGTGTATAGTAATTTATAATGCAGCTACACCTATTCATATTGGTAGTATACCTACTTATATGAATATATCTATCTCATACATCTGCACAGTTGCATAGTTGTAACAGAAGACTGACTAGCAAAGCCCCAAACATTTTCTTGCTTGTCCATTTATAGTAAAAGTTTTATAGGCCCTAAATGAGGATAAGAGTTCAGCTGCAGGGTACTTGCAGACTTCAGTATGAGTTCAGACTGGGAGATAAGCAATCATAGATTTGAGACTAAAAAAGTTGGGGGCAAGTTAGTTTAAATTCTAGGAGTAAAGCACTCATGAGACTATTTGGATTTTCATGATTAAGAGGATTGAGTATAGAGTAGAGAGGTTGGAGTTCAAACTGTAGAATCCTAAGCAGAATATTGGGTGCTATGGAGACTAGGACCTCTTAAAAGACACTCCACAGGTAGCCTGTCAATATTTCCTACCTGTGTTTTTGATTCAGTACTACTTTGAAGTTGTAAAGCACTGAGAATGTCTGTTGACTTTGTTGCTTTGAATACAGTATTATTAAATGTCATTTGCAGGTGCAAGTCTGTAGTGAACCAGAGAACATTTAAAATCTACATGTTTACTTTTAATTCAAAGACAGTATTACAGACTTTTAAATCTGCTTTTAATGTTTTTAGGTATATGAAAATTATCCTGCTTATGATTTAACTGAGAGGAAAGATTTCATTAAAACAACTGTAAAAGAGGTAAATATTTCCTTTTTCCTACTTGGCATAGAAACCAAAAGTTTATCAAATTGCATTTTTTTTTTTTGACTATTCATTTCAGTGAAAAAAAATCACAATTTGATGCCCCAGGGTTGTTAATAAACATAGATGAGGAACTATATTTAGTAAGTTTGAACAGTTTTGATAGAACCTTAGCTTAGACTAAGATAGGTTCATAGTGCACGTGGTAGCTTTGTATTTCTGAGGTACTTACTAGCTTCAGGGCAAATCACTCCAAGGCCCAAGGTCAGCAGTAACCACTGTTTCATATTTAGCTCACCTGATTTCCCAAGGTCACATTAATATGATATGTAAGATTTTATGATGTATGCATACTTGATTTTGTGTGTTGGGTATGGTAAAGCGGTTTTCTTTTTTATTGCAGCTAATCTCTTAAGCTAGAGGACAGATGGCTTGTTCTAAGATTTGAAGATACGATTTATACCAGCAAAGAGAATGTATTTTCTTTTTTAAGTCTATTGTTGGTAGAACTCGCTGCTGACCCTTTTGAGTGTTACATATATTTGAGCTTGCTGTTTTAAATTGCGTTTCCTTGCAGTTTTCAGTTTAAAGTCTTGCATGGCAGTAAATGTTCCTTGCTTTTTATAGTTGTACGTTTTGGATTTCTTTATTGTAAGGTCATAGATTTCTGGACTGGACGAATTTTAGTGCACTTAATGTTAGCTTAAGACCCTTTTAATTGAAGCAAAAACTATTATAACCAGCATTTATACGTGCAGAGACTATTGCAGTATTTAGTATATGAGATATTTTGAATACACCTTCTGTCAGTGTGAAAACGTAGTGGCAGTTTCTTCATCATATTAGAGCACAGCTGTTCAGATGACCGAGTTGGAACTTTTCATGCATGCGTATATATGTCAGGTTGTCAGCATGACAGAAGTGACAGATGTTATTTT